ACGTTTCTGGCCGAAAATGTACTGGACCGGCGCCGGTTCTAGGCCAGACCGGCGCCGGTTTTCCCCTGGGATGGCCGAATACCCAACAAATACACTGGACCGGCGCCGGTTATGGCCACAACCGGCGCCGGTTTACCGTCGGCAACCTCGGAAAATAATTTTTTCTAAAAACCGGCCCCGGTTACGAGCACTGTGATTTGCCCCGGCCAATTTTCCGCTAGACCGGCGCCGGTTATGGGCAAAACCGGCGCCGGTTTTTCTTCGGCACCCCTCGGAAAATCCCCTTTTTTATTACCTCAGTCCCTCCGAAACCGGACCGGCGCCGGTTATGGGCAAAACCGGCGCCGGTTTACCTACGGCAGCCCAAAACCATTAGTTTTTAAATAGAACCGGCACCGGTTTAAGCCCCAACCGGCGCCGGTTTACCCCTGGGCAGCTGTATTCCTACAACTTTTTGCTAAAAACTGGCATCGACCCCGGCGAGCCCGTACAAGCCCGCTATCATTTTTAACACTTAACAACATATAATTTATCAAACATTACAAGGGATTACCTGCAACGGAGTCGGGGTTAGCCCGAGCATCGGCCTCGGTCATAGCATAGACTCGTGCTTGGGCCCCGCCTTGGTTGACGGACGCGGCATGGCTCGTTGATGCGCCGCCTCTCCCCGTGCCACCATGTGACGGTCCCGCACGGTTCCTCCCCGTCACGGCCCTCCTCCGGCTCCCGGTGTGTTCTCCTGCGTCGCTTGAGGACAATTGGCCTTCATATGGCCCGCATTTCCACACTTGAAACACCTTGGTGGTTCGTTACACTTCCCAAAATGCTGTTTTGAGCAATTGGGACATCTAGGTGCTCCCGAGTTCTGTGGCCTAGGTCCGTGCCACCTCCCGTCCCTGTTCTTTTTCGTCGGTGGAGCCGGCGCCTTGAATGAGCCCCCACCACCACCATGGTTGTTCTTTCGGGAATGGTCGGGCGGCCCCGAACTGTTCCACTTCCTCTTCTTCGCCTCCTCGGCGTCCCTTGCTTTCCTCTCATTCCACTGGGCCTCCCCAAGCATGCCCTGCTCTACCACCTCACTGAAAGTCATGAGGCGGGAGTATGTAGCACGATCTCGGATGTCTAAGAGTAAGGCATCCCAGAAGTGCTCAGTCATGCGGTCCTCATCGATTGCATACTCCGGTAAGAACCTAGCCAAGGTTCTAAACTCTTGCTCCAACTGCTTAACGGTGCCACCTTCTTTTTGCTTGAGGTTGGTATACTCCCTCCTTTTTACATTAACCTCAAAATCGGAGTAGTATTGGGCATAAAACTCTCGCTCAAAACTTTCCCATGAGATATTCCCACGGTATTTCCCTTCTACACCTTCCCACCATGTAGAAGCCATCCCCTCAAGCAACCGTGAAGCAACGGTTAGCTTCACGTCCGGAGTAATTTGCATGTCCCTTGATGCATCCTTCACTTTCTTGATCCAATCGGCGGCAACGGTAATGTCACCGGTGCCATCGAAGGACCTACACCCCAAGGCCCTAGCCTCCTTGAGGTACTTGGAGATTCTCACTATGAAACCTCCCTCGAGCCCACCTTGTGGAGCCCCGGGTGTGGCCCTTGGAGCTCCCCGGCTTCCTTGAGCCGACACACCTGGAGAACCACGCCTTGCTTGGCGCCTAAGGTCTCTCCTCAACTTCTCCTTTTGGTACCACTCAAGTAATTCACCCATTTGAGCGAATCGGGCATCACTCTCATCATCATTCTCATCATCAGTGTGGAAATCACCCCCATCGTATGGGGTCTCTTCATGCTCCGTTTCAGGAACATAAGTAGAGTCGTGGTTCTCGGTGCTAGTCTCGTACACCGAACTCACGTGGCCATCACTCACTGTTTGGGCTCGGTGGCCCCCACGACTTCCACGGCCTCCTCTTCCACCTCTGGAGCTTCGAGATGCAGCCCGGCTAGCTCCAACGGAAGCTATCGGTGCTTGCCCTCTCGGATTGTTCCTGGTCCGCATGCGTCTACCCTCCATTTCTGAAAAGGAATTTGGACGAGTCGTTAGACTCCAATCAATGTCAATTGACGGAAAACGTTATAGACACGTATTGGCCTAAGTCGCCGCCATACCAATTGTTAAGGGTACCATCTTAACAACTAGAGACCTTGCAACCTCGGTGACAATAGTTCTATAAGCGTCAAAATACAATGCTCATGGTTTTCGGTAAAACTCTTTTGTAAAGTCTCATGTGAGAGGTTGATTATATAGTTTAGAAACTGAGATGGCTCTGATACCACTTAATTGTCACGCCCCAGACCGCATCCGAGCGCGTGTACAACCGCCGTATGACTAAATGACGTCACACGCAAGTCAACGTAACTTAATCATACAAGGCGTCCATGAACATTGTTCATACCATACTCAGTAAGTAAACATACATAACAACATCACATATTTGGATTGAACGAATCGCGGAAATATTCAATATTCAATCATGGGCCACATACGGCCAAAACGTGGACTCGCAGGCCCAAAACAAATGTGCTTATTACAAAATATCCATGAGCATAGTTTATAGTTTAAAATAGTAAAGGAAGCACGAACCACGTCTCCCTTTAGATTACTTCACCGAGCAAGGTGAGAATGCAAGCTTGAGCTTCAACCTGAAATGGTGGGGCCCCCCGAAGGGGTCAGTACAAGTACCGAGCGAGTAGCAGGCTAAATGTAGAATAACTAACGTTTCAAGTATAAGACCCAAACATAGGGTGATACATATACATATAGTTCTTCCCCCCAAGTTATGAAATATATATCATTATATATACACTTGGAAATACCCGACCCTTAGGTCATTGTTTAATTGGGAAATAATATAGCCGTTAACCTTGGCTTAAACCCCAACCCACCCATATACCTATGAGTGTATAGAACTCCTCCTGGTTCAAGTCATCTTAACATGAGGACACCGCCCGGTCCCAAATTATAAAATAATAATCTATGAGTTTTGAGGATACACGCCCGATCCTTGGGTACTCCACCCTATAACCGAGTTTTGAGGATAACCGCCCGATCCTTGGGTACTCCACCCTATAACCGAGTTTTGAGGATACCGCCCGATCCTTGGGTACTCCACCCTATAACCGAGTTTTGAGGATACACGCCCGATCCTTGGGTACTCCACCCTATAACCGAGTTTTGAGGATACCGTCCGATCCTTGGGTACTCCACCCGACTTATGATCTACCACATATCATCCTAGATAAGGTCTATATCATAATCAATAATCAAGACTAAACCAAGTCTTAAGGCCTAAGCATAATCATCCATGCAATTCATGCATTAAAAATCAACATATAGGCAAAACAGTGCCAAACCGGCGCCGGTTTTGACATAACCGGCGCCGGTTATTATTTAATTCAATAAAACCGGCCATGCCGATCCATAACCGGCGCCGGTTTTGCCTATAACCGGCGCCGGTTGCCCCCTGGGCAACCAAGTCAACATTTTCGTTGACTCGCCATTTCAAATCCGATTTGCGTCAAACTTAATCCCAACATGTATTAAGTTATAACCAAGCATTTTATGCCCCCTTTATCCCTTAAAACATCATATATGTTTTTATAAACATTTTCATATCATACTTCATTTATGATATCCACGGGTCATACATATAAGTCTAATCACTTTGGATAATCACATGTTTAAGCATCTTTTAAACATCATTATGAACACATATAACATTCACTTAGGTAATCTCATAATTAACCCAAGAGTTATAAGACATTAAGCCGTCCACTCACCTCAAATGAGCGTGATGAAGTTCTACCCCTCTCGGTTGAACTCCGGCCAAACTCCGGTGAACTTTGACGAACTCCGGCGATAACTCCGGCGACCCTTTAAACTTCGTGAAAGCTTTTAAGTCACCTTTGACAAGTTCCTAACAAGGTTTTATCATCACAAAACCCATATTAATACAAATAACCTCTAAAAGGTTATTTTCCGGCTAACCGGTCGTTTTGGCTCCTAAGTCCGTTCTTGGACTTAGAGCTACTTTCGACTCCCTTGTTCCACACTTAAAACCATGTAGAACATCCTTAAGGGTATTTCATATGATATATAAGTCATATGAAATCAAGAGATGGAAGAAAAGTTGTTAAGGAGCTTCTCACCTTTATTCCCAAGGTTTTTTCTCTACTTTTGCAACCTTTTCCTTCTTCCTTGAGCTCCTTGCTTCCTTGAGCTCTCTTGGCTATGGAGATGAAAGTTTGCAGAGCTCTCCTCCTTGGTTGGGGGTGGCTTGGACGCACAAAACATAGGGGGAAGGGGTGAGGAGACTCCTTTTGTCTCAAATGGGAAATAAGTGAGGGGGGAAGGTCCACCTTGGGTCAACTCTCACCCAATCCATCACCCTCAGCCCACACACACCTCTCAACCCATGTTATGCAGCTCCCCTTGTCAACCAAGAGCTCTCAAAAACGTGGGGTGGCCCCCACTCATGTGGGAGGTCATCCCATTATGTCCCGAAGTGTACAATCGGTCCCGAAAGTTGTATTTCTCGGACTGTTTTAATTATATTTTAATTTATTGAGTCGAATAAAATATAACACTTACTCCCCATCATAATGGGCCTTTAGGATGATTATACATTCCCCAACTTTAATTTGGAAGTCCCCGAAATTCATTTCGGACTGTTACCCGATGAATTACCCACAACCGGTAATTGGGCCTTGTTTGACCGATCGGTCAACCCAATGCCTTTCTTATGGCCCAAAGTAAATGTCCACCACCATATAACTATTATCTATACCAAGATGAATAAAATATGCGGTCTCGGGAATATCGGGTGGTCCCCGCTCCCGTGTGGGCCCCACGTGCAATTTACTGTTCACGCAAAAGCATTAACAAAAATTTACAACCTCGTAAATTCATTAACCATTTCATAAGGTTCAATACATAATTTACACCAAAGTAAATATACTTGGGGACGGTGTTACATGGAGTCTCCCACAGATGAAGATATTCGAATGCAGTTGATGGCGGCAAGGAAAAAAGCAACCTTCTTGGGGGAGGCCGAAACATGCTTCTTCCAACAACGGGCCAAAACCACTCACATTCTGGAAGCGGACAAGGGCACACGTTACTTTCATGCAATTGTGAAGAGGAACGCTGCCCGGAACTCCATCTCCTCGGTTATGCTTGAAGATGGTAGCTTTACTAAATCTTTAGATGATGTTGGTGATGTATTTGTAAATTTTTTTGTTGATCTATTTGGAACACGGGTGGATACCCTGGACCTGGACCACTCGGTTTTAGGTACTGGTCCTCTGATTGAACCAGGTGTTCATGAAGGCCTTCTTTCACCGGTAACAGACAAGGAAATTAAAGATGCCTTGTTTGATATCGGGAATGATAAGGCACCAGGACCTGATGGGTTCTCCTCGGCTTTCTTTAAAGCCAATTGGAGTATTGTTGGGAATGACATGATACGGGCTATTAAGGAGTTCTTTCGAACGGGAAAAATGTTTAAACAGATCAATCATACTGTTATAGCACGTATCCCTAAGACTAGTCACTCCCCAAAAGTCTCAGACTATCGACCCATTTCTTGCACAAATGTTTTGTATATAGTCATTACTAAGATTATTGCGGCTAGATTAACCCCGTGCCTCTCGGGGTTGATTAATCAAGCCCAAGGAGCATTCGTCGATGGCCGCCTAATGTTTGATAACATTTTCCTAGCCCAGGAACTTGTTAGAGGATACAATAGGAAGCGAATTTCGCCAAGATGTATGATTATGGTGGATTTGCGCAAGGCTTACGACACGATATCATGGGATTTCCTTGAAAAAGTCTTATTGGGCTTGGGCCTCCCAACTCGATTTGTTGGATGGATAATGGAATGTGTCTCGACGTCCTCGTTCTCGGTCTCCTTAAATGGATCACTGTTTGGATTCTTTAAAGGAAAAAGAGGAATACGGCAGGGAGACCCTATGTCTCCGCTGCTCTTTGTTTTGTGTCTTGAATATTTCTCTCGGTTACTCACGTTGAGAACCAAGGGAAATAATTTTAACTTCCACCCCCAATGCTCTTCCTTGGGTATTACCCATCTGGCCTATGCGGATGATCTTATGCTTTTTTCTAGAGGTGACACGTATTCAGTGGAAATATTGGTCAACGCTCTGAAGGACTTTGGGGACGTATCGGGCCTTAGGGTAAACCACGAAAAATCTAATATTTTCGTGGGTGGGGTAAGGGACCAAGAACTTCAAAACATTTTGGATATTGTTGATTATAGACAAGGCGTATTTCCGGTAAGATACCTTGGAATACCTCTTGCTCCACTTAGGATTTCGGTTGCACAATATGCACCATTACTTGATACGGTCAATGATTTTTTAAAAGCTTGGAATACAAAAACACTGTGACGTGCACTTTGTCGTGGTGTGCAATCAAAATAAATACAATACAACAAATATACGTAGTATATTTAAGTAAGGTTCGTATCCGCAGGGAAAGGAATACTTCTCTTTTTATAAACTAATAAATGAAGGGGGGTTTTTGATTGAATGATTTAATTAAAATTGAACACGAAGATGAACGAGTTATGTGGTTTAATTAATGAGAAGAAGACTTGGCTTTGCTTTTATCCACTTAATGAAATGTTCGTCGATCCCGGTTATATCTTTAACTATCTTCCTCTCGAATACTCAATCGAGGAGTATATCCAGTTCATCGAGGGTAGTTATTAATAACGAGAAGCGTTCATTAATAAAACTTACTATCGAGTCAATATAGAACAAGCGCCGTATATTAACTTGATAGTAGCAATAAACTTAAGATGAAAACGATTGAGATTGATAACCTCAACACAAGCGGTTTATTGGTTTAATCAATATAATTAATTCCCCTTAGATTATTAACCATGAGATGCATGCATTAATAATCCAAGTTTACTACCATGAAAGGACCGAATTAATAACAAGCGTATTAATCGACCGATTCTAGTATTAATTAATATATGAAACAAAACTAGTTGATCCTTTAAGTAATGTTCAAAATATTAATATGAAATATGAATAGGAAATAATTAATACTCAAGAAAGAACATTAAAGAAGATGAATCCTACTATAGTTAATATCAAGATGTTAACTAATTGTCATCTTAGTAACACTCCCCGATATTAATGTAGAGGAAGAAATAACTATTACTATAATTAATGTCAAGATGTTAACTAATTGTCATCTTAGTAACACTCCCCGATATTAATATGGAAATAGTATTTAAAGAAAGAATTAATATTCAAGGAAGAAGATTAAAGATAATAACTCACAACTTACAAATTCATTAAGCTTCAAAGGAGCAAAACCAAGATGGAAGAGTTTAGCTCCTCATTTGGAGACTAAACATGCTATAAAAATATAAAAGAAATACTATTCTAAACTGAGCTTAAGAGTATGGAAGAAGGGATGATTAAAAGTGAAGGAAAATGGGGTTATTTATAGGTGTTTTCAACACCTAATGCCGGATACCCGGCCGGGTATTTTGACATACCCGACCGGGTATTTACCAAATCAAATATTTTCCCATGTTTTTGTGTCTTCTGCACGTTCTTTGGTCCGAAATCACTTCATACCCGACCGGGTATATGGAATACCCGACCGGGTATTTGCTAGTTATGCAGCAGTTTCCTTTGTCACTTCATACCCGGCCGGGTAAAGTCCATACCCGACCGGGTTTTACATAAAACTCAGGTTTTTCCATCTTTCTTGCTTCCAAACCTATCCTAAACTTATAGCTCAACTAACTATAACTTACAACAAACAATAAAATGCTAAAAATACGATTACAATCAAATGTACACTAACGACTACAAACTTGCATAATACTAGTAAATAAATATTACAAATGATGATAAAAATGTACACTTTAGGCACTAACAACTAGTGCCTATCAAACACCCCCACACTTGAACGTTTACTCGTCTCGAGTAAAACAAATCCTGTCCATGAAGTTTCCGAACCAACAATAGTAGCAATCACAACCATTCACAAGTGTTTTTTGAAAATCAACCTAAAAATGTTTCAATGATCAAAAACACATAAAAAGGTCTTCAACACCATTAGATTTCTCTTCTTTTGCTTCCTCATGTATATGCCCTTAGGATCCTGCACAGATAAAAGAAAATACTTTCTCTCATTCTCTCATTTTGCCTAGGTGCCCTTTCGGGTTTTCATCCCAGCTTCCCACATTTCCCCTTTTTATTCTCACCAACTCACTCTTCTTTTTGCTTTTGTTTTGCTTAAGTTGCCCTTTTGGGTTTTCAACCTAACAAGCTCTGTTTTGTGTTTTTTTTTAAAGCAATAATAAAGAGTATGAAATGGGAGTGTACCAGAATAGTTCTCCCCCCAGCTAGTTCATGGCACTGTTCCTAGTGCCCGCCAGCATCTCCTCCATCAAAGAATCCACCCTGGCCATAGTAGCTGTCATGAAAACCACCCGCATATGGATACTCATCGTCGTTTGTGTCTGAGCCGCCGCCGTATCCGCCATCACCGCCTCCCCCACCTGAGGTCGATCCACCAAAAGTACCCCATGCTTTGGGGTCATACCAAGAGGGTGGTGGTGGGGGAGTGACCATAGAAGAAAAGGACCCTTGGTGTGCAATGTAGGAGTATATAGGGCCGTAGGTCCTCCTTTGATCCTCTTCATATCTCCGGCGGTCGTCGTCGTATTGCTGCCGCTGGTCTTGTATTTGCTCCTCCAACCGCTCTATACTCTGCCTGTGCTCAGTGCGAAACAGTCCAAATTCCTCCCGAAATTGGGTGTAGTTGAGGTTTAGGGCACTCATGCTGTGGAGCATCTGTTGCTCAAATGGGCTGTATTGAGGGTGTTGGGGGTCAGCTTGTGGTTGGTCTTGTGGTGGGCTGGGGATGGGTGGGGGATCAAGTTGAGGGATTTCATTAAGATAGTGGTCAGGGGTGGTTCCGGGTAAGCAAAGGTGTCTCCTATCCCCGAGTTGATGGTTAAAAATGTTGGGGAGTTCGTCAGAGGGGATTGTAAAAACTTGTGTGGGTGAGGGGTGTATGGTCCAATGGTAAAATGTCGTGGTCCCAATAGTGTGGGAGTGACTCAAATCATGGGCAGTGAGTAGAAAGTCAAGATTAAGGGAATGTCATGCTTCTACTTCTCTATTCGCATGATAGCCAAATTTAGTACAAATATGGTGTATGTACCCTCCTATGAAAATTTCACCCATAGCTTCACATTGTGTTTTTAGATGTTCCCATAAACATGAGGCAACATCTAATCTAGGAGCTTCTGGAAAGATACCCATAGCAAGAATGGCCAATTCACTAATCCTTGTTTGATGATTATTTGGCTTCCCAAAGATATTATACCCAAACCATTTTAGTGCAATTCGAAGTGCAGGGTGTTGAACATGTGTAACATGCATATGTGAGGATTTTGTTGGGCCTGCCGCGGGTCTGCGGTCAGCAATCTGCCAGCCTGTCGGTGCAATCGGACCGCGTGGCGCTTTGCCTGTTCTATAAAAGGGGGAAGGGCGTGCTACACTATCAGCGATTGCTTTTAGTGTAGCGGTAAGCGCAACGATCCACAATTGGTATCAGAGCCAAAGGTCACGGGTTCGACCCCCGGCAACAGCATGCTGCTCAGTTGTAGGCTGGCAGGTGCTGGGGGGGAGATTGTTGGGCCTGCCGCGGGTCTGCGGTCAGCAATCTGCCAGCCTGTCGGTGCAATCGGACCGCGTGGCGCTTTGCCTGTTCTATAAAAGGGGGAAGGGCGTGCTACACTATCAGCGATTGCTTTTAGTGTAGCGGTAAGCGCAACGATCCACAGATTTAAAGACCCTAACCCCTGTCATTCTTCGCCACAAATCATGCACAATTGTTTTATCACTTCTTGCCTTTCTTTCCTCCACACCTAAAACTGGTAAACCAAATAGCTCGGCAAACTCACGTTTCGTTAAGGTTCTTGGTATGTTGTTATACCGAAACGTGAGTTTGCTCTCATAGGTGTCCTCATCGTTATCAGTAAATTCAACAGAGGCTAGGAACTCATACACAATTCTTTTGTAGATATTATAGGACATATTGAACAGTGTAGCAAGTCCTATGTTGTTGCACAATTCTAGCATCATATCATACAACATCAATGCTCTCAATGCTTCATGACAAAGAAATCGGGTGGGATATACCTCTCGGTTGAGTTGGTTGAGGAATTTCTTGTGATGAGCCCTAGAGGTGAATTCGATGCTCTCATACCCCGGAACTCGTGGAATTGGAGCATTTGAGTTGGAGGAAGATGCTCTAGCCCTTTTCGGTGCCATGGTTTTCCCTTTGCTTGAAATTAGTGAAGAAATTTCGGACTTGTCTTGGAGGGGTTAAAAAAAATTCGGACTTTTTGGTTTTTGGTGTTTTTGAGGGTGTGGAGGTGTAGAGGATGATGGAGAGAACAAGAAATTGGGTTT